GCACTCTCGCAAGCGAAGTCTTGGCGCGCACAAAGCCCAATTCGTAAAACTCCTTGCCAAAATTCGGAATTTCAAGGCCGTCGAGATTACATCCTTCCCTCGCATCATCATGTCGACTTTCCTGATCCCTCTCACGTCCATCCCAAATAACTGTCTCCCAGATTTGTGCGCCACGCTTTGCTTCCTCCGTCGGGAATAAATATCGACGTGGGCGTGTATTTGGCGGTCAACTGAGGCCAGAGAAGGTCGAAGAGTGCTATGGTCATGGGAACGAGGATATACTAGGTCTTACCTGTAGACTTGATGAGGCTTCGATAGGATTCGAACTCGTTGGGAGCGAAATAACGACATGGAGGAGTAATTTGGATTTTTGCCTCGTGGGCCAACTTCTTTGATATTGCGAAATTTGACTGAACTTGGCTCTGGGAGAATATTTCACTCCCAGGTTCGTAGAGGACACCACGTACAGGTGTTCAGTCTTGCCCTCCAAGGAGATATGTTGGAGTATTCACTAGTGTGCAGACATCCCTTATTCATGTGTACAGAGGAAGGTCCTGTCACGAAGATAAACTGAGTATTTGATATAATAGAAAATTTAAAGAATCTCCACATTATTGACACACTTGAGAATACTCGGGTTTATCCTCAAGTTCGTTCATTGATCCAAGTCCTATTATTATAACTCACGAACTTCACTTCTCTTAAAGCCATAGCTACCTCCTTCCATATCTTCATCCTGACGGTACGTCATTCTAACTCAGCATAGCCTTTCAATATAAAGCCCTGACAGTCATTAAGGAGCCAATTACACATAAGCAGGCAATAGCAGCTGAGGATCCTGAAAGATGAAAAGAAGCAATCAACGAAGAGATGGATGCACTTCGGCGCAACGATACATGGAAAGTTGTGTCTAGAACTGTTTATCGCTCAGACGCAGGATCTCGCCGGGTTTTCAAGGTTAAACACTATGCAGACGGTCCTATTGAAAGATACAAGACTCAAGTTGCTGCTAAAGAATTCTCTCGAATTCCTGGCACTGATTTTGAAGAAACTGATGCACCAGCTGTACACTTTGACTCTCTACGCCTGCCTCACGCACGAGCTGCCCATAACAAATGGGAAATTGTATAAATTAACGTTAAATGTGCATTTTTATATAGGGATTTGGACCGCGACACATATATGGAGATTCCCGATGGGCTCATGTTTCGGTTCCACTACGACAAGTCAAGCGTAAGGAAGTATAGGTATATTCCAGGGTAATGTCGTGTCAGGTCGTGACTAGTCGTGTGTCTCGCGAATATACAACTGGCAAGGGAAGAAACGCGTACAGGACGTCTAGTCATACGAACACTGTAATTAAGGAGATATATGTAACTTTCTAGTGTCATATGTGATTTGATCTAAACCTGTATATGGAGACTAGGGCTTGTAGAAATATGGTTAAATGACTAAGGAACGGGTATAGAAATGGTTATATATGGACATGATCTGGATGATTGGAAAGGGATCATACTGAGCACATATCACAACCAGTTTTACTCGATCATCTTCTAGGTATTTTACACCTTATTCTATATAACAACTCAAATATATTCACTTACAGAAGTCATATCTTTAACACGACTTAGAAAACAATTGTCATCTTCGTCATCATACGATACCATAACCAAGTCAAACAGTTCAAGGAATCTGATATGGTGTAAAAGTTGCGAAAATCTATCTACGGACTGAAACAATCCTCCCTTGTCTGGCATCTCACCTTAAGAAATGCTCTGACCAGGTACGGATTCGTTCCGGCTACATTTGACCAATTCATCTTCGTCCACAACAAGACCACCGTTTATGTTGCTGTCTACGTTGATAACATTCTGATCTCCGATTCTGATCCCAAGATTATTAATGAAACTCGCCTATTCTTTAATTCCGAAATTAAATGCACAGACCTAGGACAAGCTCATTAGATTCTCGGAATCGATGTAGAAATTATACTGCAAAGTATATCTCTTAGCCAAAGATCATAGTTTCTCAAGGTCCTTTAAAGATTCGGCATGCTAGAATGTCATCCTGTTGCCATTCCACTCGAACCGAATACTCACCTTCAACGAGTCGAACCAGCGGATCAAATTGATCATATCAGCACATACCAATCCCTTACAGGCTCAGTGATGTATGCGTAAATTGGAACGCGATCTGACCTTGCATTTAAAATTACTCATCTTTCACTAAAATCTTCTTGTCCTGGCTCATCGCACCTTGCTGCAGCTAGACGGGTTCTTCGATATCTTAGAGGCACTATCGATCGTACACTTTTCTTTCCTGACAAACACGACTCTACAATTCATGGCTACGCTGATGAATCATGGGGTAATAATCTTGATGACCGTAAGTCATATTCTGGATATATTTTCGAGCCATGGGAAGCCTCTATATCCTGGTGTTCTCAGAAATAGAAAACCGTCGCACTCTCTACAGTTGAAGCTGAATATATGGCTATCAGTCTTCCATCGCGACACTTGATCTGGCTCTGTTGAGCTATTAAAGAACTTCAGCAAAGCTACGGCTCTATCCTTCACGCCGATTCGAACGGAGCTATAGATCTCCCTGGAAATAATAAATTCACTCGCTCAAAACACATCGATATTCGATATCAATTTGTAAGAGATCATATTCACAAAGATTCTGAACTTGAAAATGTTTCCTCTTCCGATAATTTGGTCGATTATTTACCGAAGCTTCTCACGAAATTCTTACAGAACAAAATTTGATGCAGAGCTATTTTATCACAACAGTAGCATCATTAGTTGTCCCTTTTGATAAAATTAAATTTCTAATGAGACTGAGATGAGCGGCAAAACCTCGGCCACCTGGGTTACAAGATCCGAGTATCGAGGGTCGGGAAGGCAGCTCGATTTTCAAGCTCCATCCTTGGAAGAGATCATGAGACTAGCGGAGAAACAGAAAGCAGGGAAAACAAGAGACTTTATAGTCCCGAGGCGTGCCCACGAGGCAGATCTACAGAAGTGGCCACTTCAGCTAAAAGTTGGCTCAAATGATTGGGAAAATCTCAAGCACAACTTATCGACTTTGTAATATGGGACAAAAGGCATAAAATAATTATGGATTGTCAGATGTCAATATGGGTAAATATTCGTTGAGTGTTGCGAAGAAAATATAAATTTAGATGTAGATGAAAGATAATTCATTATATTCATAGATGTAATTCGTATAGAATCTGCCTGTCCTCACTTCCGGTCCGGGTCACTTATAAACTATCTACCTTAAGTATTCATATGTTATCCATCCACTTGACAATATATCAAGACTTAATCGACAAGTTAGGTCTAGTAACAGTCCCGTTAACAGAAGGTTACATTTATGTTTGCGATAGTGGTGCTTCTTATGCGAAACATGTTCCATGCATCTACACCCCGAGGTGTGTAACTGCTCAACATTCATTGACGTAACAGTTTAACACATATATATCAAAATAAAGCTCTTACACAATCGCAGCACGAACGGGTCACGGCAATTTTGCGGCATACCATCGCCGTTTTAATAATCCACACGCCCCTATGGAGTGCTCTTGCGGGAAGGAAACTACTCCAACCCACTTCATCCACTGTAGCCGTCACGCACAACAAACGCGTAGGCTCAGAAAGTCATTGTCACACACTGACTTTATCAAAAAGCTTCTCGGGCCCAAGTGCCACGATAGCTTCAAAATATTTGCGGAGCAAACCGGCTGTTTTGATAGACGACCTGCTCACTCATCCCCTGCTCTCGGCGGGGATCAGATAAACTAGTCATTGCCACAACGCATGAGACGAAAGGGAACGAGGCGAGAAGTGAGGTTTCTCTGAGGAAAATTTTCTGTGCTTGGATTTAGATTTGAAGTATGGAGGCTCGATTTCGGAGTCGTAGTAGGTGGTGTCTTCTGAGTTGTAATTTATCTTCTACTTTTTCTGTAGCGGGTCTCGCGGTTGGAATGAGTTGGGCCTGTAAGCAGTGATCCCCGCCGGCTCCACCAGTCTTGTACCTATAGTGGACCGAGAGCTTTAGCTTAGGACTTTATATAATAAAAAAAAGCTCTTACACTTTGAATCATAGACTTTCAGATTGTACCCCAAGGAAAAACAGTAGGCTGCAACATATCCGAGCATCTCTGCATATTCCTAGCCATAGTCTAATCCAAGCAACAACTGCAGTTCGTAGGACCATGAACTATTCATGCTGAACCTGGCGCCGGTTGGTGCCTATGTGCCCGATACACTGAGTTAGGGCCAAACACTTCTGACAGAGCTATTCATCTAACAGGAGCTAGTATCACGTCTAGATCTCATCTTCTGGTAAATTTAGAAACTATACTTTACTCAACCGTTAAAATTGCAAGAGACATTTGTCTCTTACAACATAGAAAGTAGTTATTTTCTTTTATGATTCATAAAAAGATACCGAGTCGCTTTATAGTTTTCCTATTGCTCAGAGTGTTTACATATTGAACAAAAATCAAGTTGTTTACCTACAATACTATATGGGGAAAGAGCTAACATTGGATTATTAGACTTCACACTGCAATTACAACGTGACATCCTGAATCTTGCATTTTAATAACTTCTGTGTTAAATCCAGACTCGATGGAATTTTAAGTCTTTGGGACACCGCTAAGAACATATTTAGATACTTATTTAAACATATATGTGCATATTGTCTCTACGCCTACTATTGTAAGCAACTTTGGATTAAATAGTTGGGAATAGATTTGATGATATTAAGTCATTTTCCCTTCTATTGCAGCCCAAGATAACACTAGAGGAGAGCACTGAGCAATTTATAAAGAAGTACTATAAATGGGATCATTCTCTTTGTGAGCCAAGCGCCATTAAATCATGCTGTTCCCAGTATTCCGATCTAGTTGTGGGGAAGAGTCTCTAGTGTTGTTTCTTTCTGTTGATATTACTTTAATAACCCTATGTTGGTATAGGGTCTATTTAGGTCGCTCATCCTCCACCATCGATATCAATAGCAGCTCGATCTTGTTGCTCATCATCATAACAAGATGAGTCTTCTTCCATAAGATCTTCTAACCGCATTCGTTCTGTCAAGCTCTTTGCCGGAAATCCAGTACGCAAACCTCTCCCTATTGTTTTTTCTTTGACGCTTGTGCTTATGCCGGGGTACTGTAAGTTGTTTTCATCTAAGCCTGTTCGACCATCCACACTTCCTACAAAACTATCAATCGCACCAAGAGAGGCGGCCTGGGCATGGATTTGAGGGCTGACTATAGGCATGCTGAATGGATGCTCTTTGAAGGAATTTGTGAGGCCTGTTCGCTTGGGAGTAACAAGAGTAGGCAGTATTTTAGGAATAGTCTTGGCAGAGGATTGAGAGTGGGACGGTAGGCTGGCTTGCTGAGATTTGTATTTACTTGATCTTATGGTTAGAAAATCTTCTTCTTCTTCATAACTATCGTAATCAACATCATCTGTGCAATTGGTTGGTTGAGGTTGCTTTGGTTGATTCGCTGTCTCGTCGAATTGAAAGAGCGCTTGGTCATCTTTCTCAAATGCCAGCTTTTTATTGTTAAGATTGTGAGATTCTTGTATATCAGGAATGGTGTTTGGTAGCACAGGAAAGCCAAATTTAAAAGGTGGTGCGCCGAAAAATTGTGAGAGTGGAAGTTTGAATGAATCATTGTCAGTCGGATTTCCGTATTCAGCTACAGGCGACAAGGAATTAACTCTGCTATGACTCGATAATTTTGAATGCCTAAAATTATAGTTATTATTTTCACTTCCTTGTGGCAAATTAATTGAGTCGTTATCAGCAGCGACAGACGCCGATCCATCTGCTGGGGCATAAACTGACGTCCAAACTGTCCCGTCGTCTTCCAGCGACTTCCTTGACAACAACCTTAAAGCCTGAGAGGAGGATATTCTTGGGGGTGCTGGGTCGCTTGGATACTCCATCATCTCTGCATCAAAATCTTCTTCAGAGTCTGAAGCCGGTGGAGATGTTTCGTCTCCGAAAACTGGCTCAGATGATAGGGGAGAAGATGTAGGTAAGACTTCCTCTCCGGCGAAATCGAATCTAACTCTTCGCGGACTTGGACAGCTACCTTTCGATGAATTTAATGATAGCCTTAGTGCACTTCGACGACCCGTACTACTATCACTCCAGTCTGAGCTTGTAGATGTTTCCTCTGTATTTCTTTGCCTTGAGCTTGACGGTTGGGGTTTCGGAGAAGGCGCCAATGATCCGGTAACTTCAGTACTCGCATCGACTTGTCCAACTTTTTCGCGGCCAGCTTGATGTATACTTGGTGAATCGGATGATATAGATCGGCGTCCACGACTACTTCGATCGAGGAGGGGAAGATAATTGGGGGTAAACACGCCTCGAAACTCCTTTTCGCGCTCGTGTGGACTTCGTAGGTCTACTTTGTGGAGTTGCTCTGTAGGACGGTGGAGAGGTTCAGGTATATCTATGCCGCCGTTTTCGAGACGGGCATCTTGGCTTTTGTTGCAAGGCTTAATCTTGATTGTTGGCGGGCTTTCTGGATATAGTGAGCGATAGCCATTCATGGAATGCGCCATCGTGCGGGCAACAGTCTCAGAGACGTCAGTAGGAACATCACGAAGTAGGTCATCAGTATATTTCCCAAACTCTGAAGCCATATCCCTCCGATAAGCCCATACCCGATGATCAAGTTCAGCGAGTTTGCGCTGCAGTTCAAAAACAATGCGGCTTGATTCATTCATAACGATGCTGTATTTGAGGGCTGTAAATATTTTTAATCTGCCTTGTTGTGCTTCCTCCTTGATTACACTCTAAACATAGTGGCAACAATAACAAAACGTTAAGTGTGGCTGGATATTTGTCGTAGAGGATGGGAAATGATTATTGATCGCGACATGCCTACAAGTTTTGCTTTGTGATCCAGGCGTTCAAGGTTGTTGAGCCGTTATGCTCCATCTCACCCTGGTTGAGTTGCGGTTCTAGAACCGAGATTGATATGCTTATGATTCATGAGTTATTATAGGCCTATAAGACTTATTGTGCTGATAATCTGCTGTTGTGGATCACTCAGTTTGCCGAGTCCTCTAGGATTACCTCCGTGGAAAAACTGTCAGCCCCCTCTAGCCTCGGGGAATGAGCAACGTGTGCGCCGAGCAAGAGGGGAAACGAGAGTGGGGTAAGACATGATATAAGCAAAAGAGATTAATAGCCGAACATTCGCAGATTTTAGTGCGAAGAGGTCCTGGGAATACGCAATCGGCAATAAACAGAATCTTTACACATTGCCCACCCCTATTCTACATTTGTTTCAAAATCTATCAAAGTGCTTTTTATTAAGCAAACCCGGGGAATAATATAATAAACCTTGGCATTTTTTAGATCTAGGTTCGGGGAGAACTAACGAGACCATCGAAATTATCAACGTGTGAAGATCTGTGACTGTACCTTTTCCAAATCTCATCACAAGGCTAACTTTTCATCAAATATGAATATACTCAGATGTCTCTTTAAAAATCAGATATTGTGTTCGTCTTAACTCAGTTGATCTCGAGATAAACCAAACCACCTTAGTCACAACTATCCACGAATCTTATGCTGGAGAGCAGGATATCAGAAAATACACTTTTCGATAACCTCACAGAATGAATAGAAAACTACAAGCCTTTTAAAAATCTTACCAATTATATCTACTTGATAGATCTGTTCTATTTCCAGCTGTGAGTTGTACAGTGAAAGACTTTCATCCAAAAGAGCGAGTACCGGGGTCCAATGGTGCATTGTTCCCTTCAACAGCTACCCGACCTTGGGCTAGATTACCAGCCGACACCTTGAGATGGGAGAGATTGATGAAGTGAATTACCTTCATACTTTATGCAGTAGAGACGATATACCATCGCATATGAAGTCCTCATGCTGATTAGTCGCATCAAATTATTTCATACTAGTAGTCTGTAAGATTTATTACCCCTCTTCCCTATCCTGTTGCCATATATTACAACAAATCTTCCATATTTAGTTTAGTCAATTTTAAACCCTCCCCTCTATGGACGAAAAGAGTATTCCGGAGGCCCAACCTAGCCCGACACTCCTGGGCGTCCGCAGATTACCAGGACACCTGGAATTCAAACGAAGTTTATGCGTTTGGTTCCACGGCTCACCACCACGCGACTGTTGGTGTTACCATTCACTCCGAAGTCTTGACTCATGTTCTTTATACTAAATGAAACTGATCTTTCATATTGGGTAAGTATGATTAGCACCGACATTTCGACCCCGTCGGGTGCAGATGAAATTACCGGGTAAGTCGAGGGACTATTGCACTTCCACTGAAACATGATGCAGATGGGGTTGGACGGGACCAATGGACTGATTAACCATTTTTATCCACATAAATTACCTGAAATATACGAGACTTATTCAAGCAGTGTGAACTATGAGTCCAGCTGCCCAGAAAGCCTTAGCCACTCTGGGGAAAATAGTTATCGTGTCCATGTGTCATGTAAACTTGAGCTTGCCTGGTCTCATGCTCGAATTACCACACAGCCGAGCCTAATCCTTGTCAGGTATCGAAAACCTTCAAGGTTTAATCGTTAGTTTGTCGTCGCGTTGATTCTGGTTATGCCTGTGCGTACAATATAATGAACGCCTTATCAGGCTTGGGCATGTTCAGCGAACAATTGATTGCTCAACCTTTTGAATTGAGATGTCGTAAAACTGTATGTAGAGGACAGTTGGTTTAGCCCCTGATAGAAGAAACCTTGCGGTTATCGGAAAGATGGTCGATTGGCTTCTACTACATGATTCAACAGCTCGTGTTGATAAGCCTCCATACCCCAGATCTAGACACACCTAGCGTCTGCTTGATTAGTGAGGTAAATTAAGGGATTGTGCTGAGGTATCCAGCTTTTTGTCCCGTACCAAACTTACAACACTGTTATATAAATTCTATAAAAAGGCGGCCAAGGCATGTAGGAAATGCATGATTAACACTCAAATTTCTCTCTTGACTTCATTCTGAGACCTTTAGATGATGAAGGCTAGAACATATAAAGAGAATAATTGCATCATTTGTCGACTTAGAATATCTTGTGGGATGGAATCATTCGGATACGCCATAGGAAGAATTGTAAAGCCTTATGATTGACTCTAGATGAATTACTTCCCGTTTAGGTCCTAGCCTACCTAAGACATCGTCACTTTATAGCTTACCGACCTTACATGTGATGCAATTTCAGATTTAGGAGTAATGAGGGCCCTGTACCCAGTTATACCGTTATAGGTATTCCGAGTGCTATGGTCCAGATACTTCGCCAGTAATGCATTCATCAAAGGATCCAGCTAGTCCCGAGCTGGCGCACGTCAGCCGCGCGTCAGGTTACGATATATTTATATATTTTATAGGTATATCCGGCTCATCTATGGCTGCAGCTCCGCCCGTAAGGAGGCACGATGACTGCGAGGTGATAGCGTGCGTACTAATTTTGTTGATCTAATCAAGTTAGGGTTATCGTGCGCGGCTACACCAAGCGTGTGACCCTCTGGAACGCATCTGACAGGGCATAAGCTGTGGTGAAGTTGGCCTTGGACCGTTTTTTGGGTAGGATTGTTGGTGATAAACTGTGGTCACTTATTTTCCCGGTAAATCTTCTGGCGCCTATTAGACAGGAAGCGCCCTGCTTCTCTCACCGCCGTTCAACCTGCAACAAAATACTCCAAAGTGGCCTAGTGGTTTGGCAGGCTGAATGCTTGGGACAGCGGCCCAGAGTGCAAGCGCCATTCATGCCCCCAGGCAAGCTACGCAGGCCGACAACTTGGGTACCCGAGACTATCGTCTGCTCGGGGCAGGGAGCGGCCTACGAACCAATTACCTGACAGCGTTAAGGTCCGGTCATTAGCTGCACTGGTGCGGGGACATAGTCGGCAGGCAACAGCCACATGACAAGCAGAGGTGTGAACCCCAGCGAAGGTGCAAGAGCTAGGGGGCGTGCGGAGAAGGCCGATAGACCCTGTCCTATTCGCCCTTGTTGTCTAAGGTTTTTCTCCATGCTAATGATTGGGTTGCTGTTACGGCATGTAGAGGCATGTTACCATATTTTCCTCTTCCCCTTGTACGCGCTCTTGGCGGGGTAGAGCAAGGTGTCAGCCCGCGCGCCTTATCGCCGCTGCTCGCTTGTTCTCCTCGCCTATGACTCCATCGGACTTTAGATATAGGTGTAGCATGTCGCGACTATACGACCATGTCGCGCTTGCGCCATGCCTACACTCTCCGGTCGGGCTCTAGCTCTCAACAGTCCTTTTTCCAAACCATGTCCTCCCGGCGTAAGCATCCTCAACCGACAACTCCGTATCCTTCTTTACCCCCAAAGGCGGAACGAACGTCGCATGAGTCAAGGGAGAACTATGACGCCTGAGAAATAGCAAGGTCCAAGTCGCCGATTCTCCAAATAGAAAGAACCTTCCGGAAGTGGGTCAGTGGTTCGAAAATAGAACACCTTCGTCTGATAGCTCTCTTGATCGCCCGTTGGTCGCTATCCTGGGCGTATAAGATGAATCTACAAGATATTCGGGGCTGCGGAACCCTCGATATACCAACCCGACGAGGAAGCTCGACTGGCCAGCTACCATCAATGCCACATCCAAGTCTCGGGGAGAACTTCACTCAATACTTCAGTATTCGGTCATCATCAACAAAATTACAGTAAGCGATATTTTCTACAAATTCCTGCCAAGTAGAATGAAACCATATTGTTTTTGATCGGAAATCCGGACCGTAGAAATCTTATTACTACACAAATTAAGTTAAAAGAAAGTTCCATATATCGGCTATTAATTATGAGAAGATCCTAGTCCATTTTAGGAATAAAATCAATCATCAGACATAAAGATTCTTGCTTATCAATGTGTAATCTTGTCCGCAAATCTTCAAGTTTTGCCACTTTCCACAACTCACGCTACCTTCCAACAAGGTCCCTATGAGGTATGTTAGAAAACCCTACCCAGGTACCAAGGTTGTTCTATTCAATTCCCAGCCATCGAACTTGATAGGAAGATTTGAGAATCAGATTGGGCTCTCTTAACTTGTGCCCCGTATTCGGAAGCAAAGTCTCGGGTTCTAACTATGTAGCAATCAAAGTTCAGAATTACTGGGCGGATAACGATTGTCAGTTTTTCACCTGTGCTCTCAACAAAAGTAGGAGAAAACCATTTCCTCTAAGATTAGATACTCTCGCAAGGAATGTGCAGTTCGTTAAATGTAACTAATGTCATTTCAAAGAAGTCATTCTTTATCTTTAATTTAAATTGTTCACGATGGAGATCCCACCTCAGCAAAAAATTCAAAGAGAACCATTAATATTGACATGTTTTTGGAGGCATAGCTCGCTTCACCTTGAGATGGTATGTGGATATAGAACCTTTACATCTTTCAACCCTTTGTCACGGTCTTGTTCCAAAAAATAAGTCATCCTTATGATGATTTGCATCTATAGTGATGCTAACCTCTTGGAAAAAATATTGAAGATAAGATGGTTCAGAAGCTTAACTGTATTATAATATTTAAAGTTCATGTTGATGTTCATCTATCTCATGTAAAAAATTTGCAACTGTAGTCTGAGCAACTCTACTTGCTAAAAGTCCACCTTGAACGCGAAGGTAAGCTGACTTTACGACAGAAACTTGCGTCTAAACAGGGGTGTTGACATTGAAAAAAAGTGCATAATTATCGAACAAGTCACACATCGGC